ACAATCCTTGGTTCATGACACGATTGCTCAGCATTGGTCCACATGTGGCCCACTACTATTTAGTGATTTAAAAAAATAATGTAAAAATAATTTGAAACAGTGATGAATCTGTGAAGCATCTCATAACATGGATGAAACTGGAGGACATTATGCTGATGAAATAATCACAAAAGGACAAATATTGTATGAGACCTCTATTGTAAAAATCTCATGAAAAAGTTTACCCACAAAAAGTAACAATCTTTGTTGGTTACGAGGGATGGGGGGGAAATACTAAATAGACAATAGATAAGTGGTAACTTTTGTGAAGGGTAAGACAGTACACAACACTGGGGAAGCCAGCACAACTTGTACAAGGAAAGGTCATGGAAGCTCCATAGACATATATCAAAACTCCCTGAGGGACTGAATTGCTGGGCAGAGGGCTGTGGGGACCATGGTCTCGGGGAACATCTAGCTCAATTGGCATAACACAGTTTATAAAGACATTGTTCTGCATTCTACCTTGGTGAGTAGCATCTGGGGTCTTAAAAGCCTGTGAGCAGCCATCTAAGATACTCTACTGGTCTCTCACCTTCGGGAGCAAGGGATGATGAAGAGAACAAGATACAAGAAAAAGATTAGTCCAAAGGACTAATGGAACACAGCTACCAAGGCCTCCACAGACTGAGTCCAGTACAGCTAGATGGTGCCTGGCTACCACCACTGACTGCTCTGACCGGGATCACAATAGAGGGTTCTGGACAGAGCTGGAGAAGGATGTAGAACAAAATTCTAACACACAAAAAAAGACCAAATTTACTGGCCTGACAGAGACTGGAGAAACCCCAAGAGTATGGCCCCCAGACACCCTTTTAGCTCAGTGGTGAAGTCACTCCCAAGGTTCACCATTCAGCCGGGGATTGGACAGCCCCACAAAACAAAACGGGACTAATGAGGCACAGAAGTCCAGGGAGAAGGACTAGATGGCAAAAGGGGACAGGAAAGCTGGTGATAGGGAACCCAAGGTTGAGTAAGGACAGTGTTGACATGTAGTGGGGTTGTTAACCATTGCCATAGGGCAATATGTGTACTAACTGTTTAATGAGAAACTATTTTGTTCTGTAAACCTTCATCTAAAGTGAGAATAGCAACACAACTGGAAGAACGTAATCGACATAACTGAATTGTACATGTAGAAATTTTTGAAATGGTGTATTTTAGGCTATGTATATTTTCACCAAAAAAAAAAAAAAAGTTCCTCCAAGGCCGAGAAGGGAGCGTGTTGACATGTCATGGGGTTGTTAACCAATGTCATAAAACAATATGTGTACTGACTGTTTAATGAGAAACTATTTGTTCTGTAAACCTTCACCTAAAGTACAATTATAAAAAAAATTAAAAAAAAAAGAAAGAAAACCCACCACCTGAAACAAAAACAGATCCTTGCCAATAACCTACATCTAACCATATGGTCTTTCTTCCTCAACCCATCTCCCTGCCTCCTCCCACAGAGAGAACCACTTTCCTTAATCCCATTCTCATCATGTTCCCTTATTTTCCTTTTTATATGGTTTTATTGTATCTCTGTGTATCAAAAGTATATATGTTTCAATTGTTTTTAACTTTCTAATCTGCATGTAATCTGCTGTATATAATATTTTGGGACTTTTTACATATTAATCATATAGCTAGACACTTGACTAAGGCCTCCTATTATTTCTAATAATTGGTCTGCAGATTCTTTGTGTTTTCTATGTAAATGATCACGTAGCAATGCCTAATGCCTCTATTCTTTTTTTTAATTGCACCAACTACAACCTCTAATACAGCATTTTCAATCATGAAAGGATGTTGAATTTTTTTCAAAGGCTCTTTCTGCATCTATTGAGGTGATCATATGGTTTTTGCCCTTTTGATCTGTTTGTGTGATTTACATTTATAGATTTTCTAAAATTAAACCATACTTCCATGAGATAAACTTAATCTGATCATAGTGAACATACTTTTGGCTAATATCTTGCCCATTCTTGCACCAGTACCTCACTGTCTTAGGATATTTTGTTTAAGAATTTTACATCTGTAGTCATGAGTAAAATAGACCTGGAATTTTCCCTTCATGTAACATCTTTGTACTGATATCACTGTTAAGCTAACTGGGGAGTTTCGCCTGTTTTCCTGTTGTCTGGAAGTTTGTTTAGAACTGTCCTTGAAAGTTTGGAAGAACTTGTCTTTTAAAACCATCTGGACCTGGTATTTTCTTTGTGGGAAGATTTTAATCATACTATTTTATTTTGAAAAGATAACTTACTGCAGCATCAAAGATAGATTGTAGGGGAAAGGAGATAACATAGGAATAGGAGAAGAAAACTGCTGTTTACCAAACAGCGTGTATAACAAAAATGCATAGATAGAAATGTCTATAGTATGTGTGAGTACAGATACGTGTATACAGGAACACATAGTTATAGAAGACACAGTAACAGATACTTCTCAGAAATAACCATTCACCTTGTGAGATTGGTTTTCTAGGTTTGAAAGCGTATTAAGACCTTAGTCTAATGGGACAACTCAGTCAATTGGCATAATATATTCACAAAGTTCATGTTCTGTTTCCTAGTGAAGTGAGTAGTGTCTGAGGTCTTAAAAGCTTGCAGGTGGCCATCAAAGATACAACTATTGGTCTGTACTCGTCCGGAGAAGAAACAGGTCTTCAGGACTAATAGCTTACATGAGCCACAGCCTCATCCACCCTGAGACTAGACGAACTAGATGATGCCCAGCTACCATTACTGACTGTTCTGACTAGGGTCACAGTAGATGGTCCTGGATAGAATGGGAGACAAATGTAAAACAAAACTCAGATTCTTAGAAAAGGCCAGACTTACTGGACCATTTGAGACCAGAGCACTCCCTGAGAGTATCACCCTGAGACACTCTTTAAACCTTGAACTGAAACTATCCCCTGAGATCACCTTTTAGTGAAATAACAGAGTGAAACACAAAATAACAGATATTACCTGCAAGTACAATGCTCTGCTAAAAAACCATCTAAGACCAAAAGATCAACATTTATTCTAAAGCAAAGATGAGAAACTAGAATACTGAAAATGGAACAACCAGAACACAGAGAGAATGTTGACACATTGTGAAAATGTAACTAATGTCACTGAACAATTTGTATAGAAATTGTCAAATGGGAACCTACTGTATTTTTTTCACAAATAACACCTACACATATAATGCACAGATAGCTCACTTACGAAATTAACGGGGGGGGGGCGGGTTGTGTGGTTGGCAAAAAAATACAGCATGCGTGTTATTTGCTTTTTAAAATACAGTAATTTACTGTGTAAACTTTCACCAAAAACACATTAAAATATTATTTAAAAAACCATTGCCTTTGAGTTGATTCTGACTCATGGTGACCCCACATGTGTCATAGTACAACTGCACTTCGTAGGATTTTCAGTGGCAGTAATCTTATGGAAAGGAGCTCTGGTGACACGGTGGTTACGCACTTGGCTGCTAACTGAAAGATCAGTGGTTCCAACCACCGGCCACTCCATGGGAGAGAGATGTGGCAGTCTGCGTCCGTAAAGATTACAGCCTTGGAAACCATATGAGACAGTTCTACTCTATCCTATAGGGTTGCTTCTCTATGAGTTGGAATCAACTCGATGGCAATGGGTTAATGTTATGGAAGTTGAGTAGCTGGGTGGAGTTGAAACACCAACCTTTTGGTTAGTAGCTGAGCACAAACTGTTTGCACCACCTAGAGACCAAATGGTGTATTATTATTGTTGTTGTGTGCCATCAAGTCGACTGAAACTTGTGGCAACCCTATAAGGACAGAGTAGAACTGCCCCATAGGGTTTCCTAGGCTGTAATCTTTATGCCAGGTCTTTTCTTCTATGGAGTCACTATGGGTTTGAACTGCTGGCCTTTCCCTTAGCAGCTGACAGCTTAACCATTGCGCCACTAGGGCTCCAAATAGTGTGTAAAGGAGCTTATATCCATAATCTAATTTAATCCTTACAACACTCTTTGAGAGGGTACGTCAGTCAAGGTCCAGTTAGAGAAAGAGAAACCACATTAATATTATAAACAGAAGGCATAGTGAGAATTGGCTGTTTGGATGTTAGAAGTGTTTGGATTTTAGCCATTCTAGTAGGAGAGGAGTCCCTGGGTGACACAAACAGTTACGTGCTCGACTACTAGCCGTAAGGTTGGTGGTTCAGACCCAACCAGCATCTCCTCAGGAGACAGTCCTGGCAATCTGCTTTCAAAAGGTCACAGCCTTGAAAACCCTATGGAGCAGTTCTATTCTGCACACAGGGGGTGGCCATGAGTCAGAATCGACTGGAGAGCAACTAACAACAACAAGGAAAAAAAAAAACCCTTCCAGTTAAGTAAGACACACCATCAATTGTAAGATGCATCCCAATTTTAGAGATTTTAAAATGTAAAAAAATGGGACATCTTATAATTAATAAAATAAGGTATATAGTGCTATCTTGTAAAGAATTTGGTTTTGGAGTTGTTGATATTGAGATACCCATGGAATACCCAGATGAAATATTAAGTAGTTACAAATGTGGGTTTAGAGCTCATAAGAAAGATGGAAGCTAGAAACACAGAGATGAAAGTCTTCTGCATGTCAGAGTCATGATCCAGAAACAAACTTGCTAACTATGTTTTAGCTATTACATTCTCTGAGTCTTATTTATATCATCTCATTTCATTCAGTCTTTTGTGCATCTTTTTGTGATGGCATCTGTTGGTAAACCTTGGTACTATCTTTTATTACTCAGAAACACTTTTTGTTGTTGTTGTTCTTAAATTTCTACAAGTAAGGAAATTCTCTCCTATTTGAAAAGTGTGTGATCTGTTAGAATACAGTCTTCACAAGGATGCAGTTGGGAGTCCTGTCAGAAGTATGACAGTAAAGAGCAGGTCTCCACGAGAGATAGATGGTATGAAGAAATCTATAGACTTTCATGGTTTCTCTATTTTTATAGGTCCAGCATGTCTGGCATGCACCTAGTAAAGCAGGGTCGAGACCGAAAGAAGATAGACTCACAGCGAGATTTCACCGTGGCTTCTCCAGCAGAATTTGTTACTCGTTTTGGAGGAAATAAAGTGATTGAGAAGGTAAGTTGTAACTTGCTAAATTTTTTTTTTTTCAAAAGTAGATGAGGTTTAATACCTTATTGTCTAAATTTGTTCAAAATTGGTATTTGGATTTTTGGAGACTTTGCCTCTTTATGTGGAATTATCCTTTTCTGCCTTCCTAGCATCCTATTAAATAATTTCACTATCTTCAGTGATAATATATTTACCATTGATAATTTAGTCATAACTAGTTAAGATGATGAAATAGTGCTTATAAAGTTCTTTTTGAAAGATCTTATGATTTTACAGAGTTGAGCAGCACTGATGTTGATGTGAGTGGGTATGAGCTATTAACTGATTTGTGGAGTGGTGGTGGGGAGATATTATACGTCACAGCATTGCATTTAGAGCTAAGGAGTAGAGAGAGTTTTGGAATAAAATTCTTAAACAGTTTGATACACTGTGCCTTACTGGCTTCCACCAGGTATTTGAGATGTTTAGAGGGAATATACCATATGTAATACTTAAAAAGATTTCAGGTATTTTGAAAGGTTACGAGTAATTCAGTGTTACTTTTATCTAAACCATATCAGAGCTGATAGGATGACTTGGTCGAAATAGTGTGCAGTGATTAACTGTTTAAAGGATGGGACCCTGTATTCCCACTCCTGAAAGTATTATTCAGTGGTGTTTTCTGTTAGTCTTCCAGTGAAAATAGATTATGTATCTCCTTGCATGTGTTATCCTCAGGGACTTGATTGTAAGACGAGTAAGGAGATGAATGCTTTGTTTCAGGGTGCTTTGATTCTTCTGTTTTTCGAACACTGTTATTAGTGGGCACATATTAAAGTATTTGGTTAGCTAGCATTTTAAAATACCATCTGCTTGATCATGTGGGAGCTGATTCCTAACTGCCTAGACCAGTAATAAGAATTTCTGGTTGAAAATCTGGCTTTTTCAGAGAAAGATAGATCACATCTCTTTTCTTCCATCACTGCGTTTCTTTTCTACTCTTTTCTCCAATCCCTATCCTTGCGCTGTCCCAGGTTCTTATTGCCAACAATGGAATTGCAGCAGTGAAATGCATGCGGTCTATTCGTCGGTGGTCTTATGAGATGTTTCGAAATGAGCGTGCAATCCGGTTTGTTGTCATGGTCACACCTGAAGACCTTAAAGCCAATGCAGGTGAGTTATTAGTGTTAAGAAAGCATTATCTTCAACCATAAAACATTGAATAGTACAGCCTTTAAATAGGAGAATGTTAGCTTTGGGAATTCCCAAATTCTAGGATATCCAATGAAATCCTTTAAAAAGGATTTCTCTTTCAAAAATTGTCAATAATAGGCATATAAAGGTGATCACACTGTGTTTAACCTCAACACAGACTCCCATGTTCTACATATAAGTAGGTAGTAGTTTAACCAACATGTTGATTTGAGCTTTCAGGTTTATGCCTTTTTTAGTGTTAAGTATTTGCCATACCACATACTTCAGTGTGTAAGTGGAAAGGTTTGGAAAAAACAAACAAACAATTTCCCTTATGAACTCTAGAAGTTTAGAGAAACTTAGAGTTAAGTTTTTTTTTCCCCCTTCTCCTGAGAGATGAACCTCCTGGAACCTGAATGGTCTCATTGTATAAACTCTTCTACATATTCTGTTTACTCAGTGCTCCATCTGAGAGTTGTAGATAAGACTGTTAGTATAGTAAAAGGTGTGGCTAGACTTTCTTCCCCATAATATATTTTATCTCTGAGGTGAAGTACCCATCTCTAACTTTGGCTTAAAGAGCTACCCTTTTAAGAAGGAAACAGAGAATTTCAATAAAGAAGAGTGCAATGTATTAGTAGTCCAAGAAAATAGGAATAGAAACCTGCCCAGCAAATTTGTTAGCAAATCATTGATAACCCCTTGTAAGAATAATTGCAGTGAAACAATGTGAGTATGTAGACTCTAGTTAATGTTACGGAAAGAATGAATGGGAGGTATTCAGTATGGACTAGTTTTTTTTAAAAGAATTTTGGATGAGAAAGGAAGAAGAAAAGGCAGTAACTAAACAGGAATTCAGGGTCAAGGGAAGATTTTTTTTTTTAGGATTAAAGAGACTTGGGAATGTTTATAGTGTGAGAGGAAGGAGCCAAAGAGTGAAAAGGAGTTGAAGTACAATGAGAGACCTTTCATCTCCTGAGGAGCTGGAAGGAAATGGAATCAAGAGCATAAGTGGGCAAAAACATGCATAGCTTCTGACCAAGAAATTCTATTTGCTGTAATTTTTCCTGAAGAAAATAAATCAGTAATGGGAGCAAATGTATCCACAAAAAGACTTTTCATTGCAGTATTATTTAAAATAGAAACTGGGAGTAGCTTCAGTGTCCAACATTGGTGAATTATGTTAGTAAAATGTATAACACCATGCAGTCATTAAAAAAAAAATATTTTGTGGAATAACATTTATTAATCTGAGAATGTGTTTTGATACATTGCTGTATTAGTTAGCTATTACCGTGTAACAATATTACTACCAATTTAGTGACTTAAAACAACACATTATCTTAAAGTTTCTGTGGATTAGTGCAGGGCTTAGCTGAGTCCTTGCTTCAGAGTCTCACAAGGTTGCAGACAGGTGTCAGCTGGGGCTGTATCTCGTCTGGGTTTCCACTCGGGAAGAAATCTGTTCCAAGCTCACATGGTTGTTGCAGCATTCAGTGTTTTGTGAGCTGTCAGACTGAGAATTAGAGGCTACTCTCAGCTTCTTGTCACATGGGCCCTCCCAAAATGACTGCTTATTACTTCAGAACCAGTAAGATGGGTTATATTCTTATGTAACATTACCATGGAAGTGACATTTCATCACCTTTGTTGTATTTCATTGGCTAGAAGCAAGTCACAGTTCCTGCCCACACCTATGGAGAAAGGATTACTTGAGGGGTGAATACCTGGAGGCTGGGGTCTTGGAGGCCACCTTAGTGTCTGTCCACCACAATTACTAAGAAAAAAATTGGCTATAAAAGGAGATTTATAGCATCATATAATAATAGAAAAAAGCATGCTGTGTATAGTCATGGAAAAAGACTGTGAGGACATATACCAAAATGACAATAATAGTTTTCTCTGGGGGATGAAATTTTGGAATGTTTTTATTTCTATTTGTATGTTTCTACATTTTTTCTGAGTTTTTTTTTTTTTTAAACATAGAGTTTATATAATTTTATAATTTAAAAACAATATTTAAAAAATATAACTTTAGAAAGGTTTACCATACCAGTAGTGTTGAATTAACAAATTAGTATTATGGATGATTTTTTCTTTTTCTAACCCTTCTATAATATTACTTACTGTACTTTTTAACAGCTTTATTGAGTATAATTTACATACCATGAAATTCACCATTTTAAGTGTACAGATCTGGGAGTTTTAGTAAATTTATACTGTCATGCGGTTATCACCACAATTCAGTTTAGAATATTAATTAATTTCATAATTTCAAAAATTGTGATAAAAGGAGCCTTAGATAGGAGAGAAATCTCGTCCTCTGAGACTGGAGGGGAAGGAGCAAAATTTATGATGAGGATGGTGTAATCAAACAGTTGCATATTTTCATTTCATGATAGTTACTGGAGGAGTTGGATGATTAGTAAAATCCATACTAAAGAGTTGACATTCTCTTCTGAGGAGAGTTTTCTCAGTTGTGAGTATGCTTTAGAATAGTGTCTCTGTTGATAAAGGAATTGTGGAAACGAGGTGATGATGGAAAAATACAGGTTATATAATTAGGGTGAGCTTTCTTTTTCTACTTCCTAGGGCTTCTCTTTAGGTACAGTAATGATAATAGTAGATTGATTGTTACAGAACTTTAAACTATTGTTGGTTGGTGGCAGCAATACTCCGTGTGTGTGTGTGTGTGTGTGTGTAGGTCAGCAATTAGCCTTTTCCTCTATCTAGGGCCACTAAACTACAGAAAAGCTGTTTAACAAGCCACAAAGGAAAAAGTTGGATAGATTTCACTACATAAGAAATAAAAATATCTATTTGGCAGATAAAAAAAGAAAACAGTTAAAGACAAATGATAATTTGGAAAACTTATTGGCAGCAAAGAGCTACTATATATAAGAAGAAGGTTTCCTTCAATAGAAAATGAGGAATGAACACAAGTAGGTAGTTCATAAAAGAAGAAACAAAAAAGATTGATAAACATATGAAGAGAGATTCAGCATGAATGGTAATCAGATAAATACAAACCAAAACAATGATAGATCTGTTTGTTTGTTTTCTTAACTGATAAAAATGGCAAAAATTTAAAAAGATTCGTAGTACTTGGTATAGGTGAGGACATAGTGAAATTGGCCACCCTTATTGCTGGTGAGACTATGAAGTAGTTTAATCTTTTAAAATGTGCATACCTTGTGACCCAATAGTTTTGCCTCTTGTAACATATCCTGAGGATATAATTGGACGGTAGTACAAGGATGTTCATCATCATATTATTTTAATATTCTTCAAATTAGGAATAATGTATATTTCTATCAAGGGGTTGTTAAATTAATTATGGAGTATCAAAAACAGTAGCCATCCATTAAAATATCATGTTATTAAATATACTTTTCCTAATGTGGGAAGATACCCACAATGTATTGTTAAATTTAGCATTGTGGTGGTGGTTGTTGGGTGCTGTGGAATGTATTTCACCTCATAGCAACCCCATGTGACAGAGTAGAACTGCCCCATAGGGTTTCCTAGTCTGTAATCACCATACCTTTCTCCCTGGAGCAGTTGGGCAGGTTTTTTATTTTTTCCCATACAAAAATGTATACATACATTGTTATGTGACCCTAATTGCTCTCCCCATACTGTGACAGCACACTCCTCCTTTCCAGCCCTGGTTCCCCATGTCCATCCAACCAGCTGCTAACCCTTTCTGCCTTTCCATCTCACCTCAGAACAGAAGCTGCCCGTTTAGTCTCTTGTATCTATTTGAGCTAAGAAGGGCACACTCCTCTCGAGTATCACTTTATGTCCCACAGTCCGGTCCAATCCCTGTCTGAAGAGTTGGCCTCGGAAATTGTTTTAGTTCTGGGCTGATAGAGAATCCAGGGGCCTTGCTTTCAGGTTCCTCCAGTCTCAGTCAGACCATTAAGTCTGGTCTTCTTACTAGAATTTAAGTTCTGCACCGCATCTGGGCAGGTTGAGTATACTAAAGTGAACTGGTTATCTCTGAATGGTGGGACAGTGGGTGATTTTAACTTTATAAAAATAATATTATATCCTAAAGTCTAAAATTTTTATAATTAGCACTTCCCTCTTATAATGAAAGAACAATAAACCCATTTTCGTTTTGAACAAACTGTAGGGCTTTACGTCTTGCTTTTAGTGAAATTTTTTTAAGAAGGACTTAAAATCTTTTAAAATTTAACAACAAGGCATAAGAAATTTCATAAATATGGTGGATATGGACCTTAACTGCTTGAAGCCATAATTTCCTGTAAACTGGGGGCTGATAATACCTATCATACATAGGATTGTTTCAAGAATTAAATGAGATAATATATATATAAAGAGCTTAGTACAGTGCCTTTACATTGTAGCTGTTCTGCTTTAATTGTTGCCATAATAGGAAAAGAGAAATACCAGATGACAAATTTGAAAGTGGATACTGAGAAGAAGAAAAAAAAATTTAAGGAGGGAAAGAAGTTGTCTTTCTAAAGTCTCTTTCAAATACCCCTTACCTCTAACATTCCAGATAAACCCTTTTCAAATGCTTATTAGACCTGTAACTAACCTTTCCTCTATAGCCAGTCTGCAGTATCTCCACAGTCTACCTTCTTCCCCAATTCTGTCCCAGCTCCACACCAGGAAAGGGGAGAAATGCAAATTAAAGATAAAGATGTCACTAGAACTTTTCCTCAGAATAGAATAATTGTACTCAGGCCACTAACTGACAGACACATCAGCCTTCATATAGGGAGTCATAAAGACCCTTTAGAAGAATTTCACAGTGAAATGTTTGAGAATTGCTATTTTAGTGTAAAAGCTTTCTAAATGTGAGATTGGCTCATATTAGTGCCTGTGACTTAACAAAGTCAGAGGTTCCAGGTAAATGGTCCTGGAAATTACCCAATTAATGTTGTTTGCCCTGTGGTAACCTATGATGGTCCTTGTCCTTTACATTGTTTTGCTATGCCAGTATATTTCTGAAAATAAATCATGTGTTTATTAATTTGCTTGCATTTTCAGAATACATTAAGATGGCAGATCACTATGTGCCAGTGCCTGGAGGACCAAACAACAACAACTATGCAAATGTGGAATTAATTCTTGATATTGCTAAAAGGATCCCAGTACAAGTAAGAGATCTCCATGTCCTTTAAAGCCATATTCAGCCATTTTATAGTTAGGCAAGGGAGATCCGGAGAGAAACTGGAATTTTATTTAAGGAGGGCATTGGTGGTTCAGTGGTAGAATTTGTGCCTTCTATGCCGGAGAGCAGGGTTTGATTTCTGGTTAACGCACCTCATGCTCAGCTACCACCTGTTTGTCAGTGGAGGCTTATGTGTTGCTGTGATGCTGAACCAGTTTCAGTGGAGCTTCCAGACTAAAATGGACCAGGAGGAAAAGCCTGGTGATCTACTTCCGAAAATCAACCAATTGAAGAACTCTTTGGATCACAACAGTCTGACCCACAGCGAATCATGGCGATGGAGCAGGACTGGGCAGTGGTTTTGTTCCATTGTGCATGGGCTTGCCATGAGCCAACTCAACACTAGCTAACAACAACTTTTATTTAAAACATCTTTGTTGAAAACTCTTAAATGCCTTTATATAGGATAACTAAAAGACAGAGAAGAGGAAGAACTGAATGCGTCACAATAAAGTAAACAATACAAACAGAGGGTTGGAAGGGTCTTTCAGAGATTGTTTTACTCTATCCATCTCACCTTCAAATCATCCCAAGTAAATAAACGTTATTTTCAATGGAATATTCTTAGCCCAGAATATGGTGGTGTTTCAGAGAAGTAGTTGTTTCTTTCCTATCACACTGGGTTACAAAAAAAAACAAAAAACAAAACCAAACCCATTGCTGTCAAGTCAATTCTCACTTGTAACGACCCTACAGGACAGAGTCGAACTGCCCCATAGGGTTTCCAAGGAGCAGCTAGCTGGTGGATTCAAACTGCTGACCTTTTGGTTAGCAGCCATAGCTCTTAACCGCTGTACCACCAGGACTCCTCATTGGATTAAGATTAAATACACTACAGCCCAAAGAGGAAAAACTCTACACTTGAATGACAGTGTAACCACTAGGTGTAAAGGTGTAGTTGGGTGGCCAAAGTAATTGAATCTGTGAAAAATAACCAATATTTCTGGGAAAGACTCTGTATAGTCCTAATTGACAGGCTATGAATTGAGTTTCCCAAAGAGCAACAAGATAAATGGACTCTTAATATCAATTTCAACTTGGTTTTGACCTCTTCAGAGGTTTTGCCACAATGGACTACTCATTGTTGTTCCCTAAGATAGTTTGCCAATAATACAAGCATAGAAGCTGAGTTAAGCATTAGGCTGCTGTGACGCTATCGTACTTCATGAAGTAGGACCAGTTTTGGTAGAGAGTAATGTAGTTCACGGCGGTTTCTTAGCATGAATTTTAAGAATGAATCTTATTGTGCTCCATTTATAGGCAGTGTGGGCTGGCTGGGGTCATGCTTCTGAGAATCCCAAGCTCCCGGAACTTCTCTTGAAAAATAGTATTGCCTTCATGGGTAAGCCTTTCTGACATACTATTCCTGTCTTTCTGATTGTTTCTGTCAGTTTTGCCCATTTACTGATTTTCTTCTGTTTAACATGTACTGGGCTTTTTAAAATTATTATTATTAAATCACCAGCTCTCCAGCTAACTCTCTTCATTTCTTCAACCTACTTATCCCACTTCATTTGATTGTGTTTTCTGTCCTTGGATTCTTTTCTGTGAGGTATGGGGGAAGCTCTGATGTCCAAAACACTGACTTTTTAAAACTTTCTACTAACTTTATGAAAACATAATGTGGAGAAAGGATCTATTTGTAAATAACAAAGGTAATTGAATATTTAGAATACTCTGCCAGTGTGCCCTTGAATATGAATCAGTGCCTTTGCATTTAAGCGTGTAGGGTTATATTCCTGTGGAAGAGAGCTACTTGTGACTTTTCTGTTCTCGTTATGGTAGAGAGAAAACTCGAGGTTATATGACTTAAAGTGTTTCTATCTCTGTCTCACAGATCTTCCACAGTGATGATTATGCTTTGTAAACCTTATTAAAGATAAATTTCCTCTTTAGTTCCCCAAAGACCAAGGAGGGCATAATACTTCACATTTGAACCCCAGAACTTTACAGTCTATATTTTAGGATATTGGTTAAAAACAAAACAAAACAACAAAAAAAAACTTTGGTAATTTTTGCAGTCTGGTACAATTGGATCAGGAAGGATAATAAAATCAGAGTAGATTTGTCAGGAATTTAATCAACATATATGTAGATTTATTAAGCTCTCACTCTGTGTAAAAAGCTTATACATTAGCTACTATAAAGGGTACAAAGAAATAGTTGTTCTCATAATCAAGTTTATGATTTCCATGGTATATGATGGAAGATAAGACAAATACAAAAATAATTATAATACAAGGATAAATATATGTGACAGAAATGAGGCCAAAATGTTACAGTCAGGATTCTTTTCTTGTTTTGCTTTTAGGTCCTCCAAGCCAGGCTATGTGGGCTTTGGGGGATAAGATTGCATCTTCCATTGTGGCTCAAACTGCAGGTATCCCAACTCTTCCCTGGAGTGGCAGTGGTAAGATACTGTTTTTTGTTTGTGTCTTAAAGTACAGCAGAGCACAGTAGGATATTTGGAACTGTAGCTTGGGGCTTAAGTTTGTTTATAATGTATGGGGTTACTCTGCCAAGAAATAGAATCCAAGGTGCTTAATGGTTCCCGGTATCTCCCAGCTTAATGCGCTTTTGTTTTTATCATGTTCTAGGAATATAAATTTAGTACCAAATACAAAGATGCTAAACTGTGATCTGTAGTGATGTTTGGAGTTGGTTTGGGGAAACTCTGGGAAAAAATCACATGATTCAGTCTGTTCTGAATAGACTGGAATCTTCCTTGCGGGTATATTTCCTAGGCAGAATTAGGCCTTTGGACCTGCCTGGGAGAGACCTGATTTACTAAGATAAAACCTAAAATCTACATACCCGAATATTTGCCTGCCAATGTTTTCTTGTCAAACCACAATCTGTTGATGATTTGCTTTGCCTGTTTAATGTCATTCAACCTCTCAGTTGGGCCCTTGACGTGGAAAATGAGATCAGTAGTCAACCTTTCTTCCAGGGATACAGAGATAACATTTTCAAAAAATGATTTTTTTCTTGACAAATCCCTTAAAAATTACCATGTGAATTATTATAGCTGATAACAATATATAACAATATGAACTCCCCTCCCCAACTTTTTTTTTCCCACCAACACTCAAGCGCAAGGAGTAGACATGCACTAAAACCTCTTTCAAATGGGAATGACCATTGTCTTGAGGCTGAACAGATTTGAACTCTTGTTACTCAGGTTCTCCAGGGGGATTGCAGTATCCTCTCCAGACCTGCTGGGTCAAATAGTTTAAAATAAAAGGTTGAATTTGTTCTTGTTTGAATGGAGAGGCTGTAGCGTTCCCCTTGTGACTTGAGTACAGGGACATTCAGGGAGCTTGGAATCATGACTCTCCTGAGACCAATAAAACTGCCATTTCCATTTCCAAGGGCTCATAAAGATTGAATTATTTCCCAGACCTCTGGCCCTGGAGCAGGCCTGAACACACAAATTGAAGGTATTTTGCCTGCTGAGTTGCTATGAGAAGTCTGCCATACCTTTTTTTTGTTTTGTTTTGGTCTTGTGTATCCTTGCATTTTTATAAGTTGCTCCCTGTTAGCGCCTGGCTTTTTCTGGAGTGAAAACTTAAGTAGCCAGGTTCTGCTATGACTAAATACTGTCAACTCCAAGGACTGATCAGGTTTTTTTTTTGTCTTTGTTCTTTTTTTTTAAATGACATCCTTTTTCTACCATCTACCCTCAATTTTGGATAAATACAAGAACATTTTAAAGAAGGTATAGCTGAAAATTGACAAGAGCAGAACCTGTCATTTCTGCACTTAATCACTATTATTCATTGCAGGCCTTCGTGTGGACTGGCAGGAAAATGATTTTTCGAAACGTATCTTAAATGTTCCCCAGGAACTGTATGAAAAAGGTTATGTGAAGGATGTAGATGATGGGCTGAAGGTAAGTTACTAACTCCAGCGAGTGATGCTTTTCAGCTGACAACTATAGTGACAAATATAGGGATTTGGAGCCAGGTTCATGATAACACCCATGATAGTTTTAGGGTTGTAAGACCAGGAGATGTAGTTTTAAAATTTGCTCTGAAGCAAGCTGATCATCTGGACAGAACAATATTTCTCAGGTGATTAAATCTGAGTTTTAAGGGGCTACTGATTACTGATTCTCCCTCTCTGTACTACCTGTTAGGGTGTGAGGGAGTCCAATAAACAAAACACTTTTTCCCCTGCTTGAGTTCAGAACCAAGGAATCAGGCAGAGATAAAAATGTCAGCTTTATTACAAATAGAGATGTTGGTGAAATGGCTTAAGTGTACAGCAACACTCAGATTCATAAACTGAACATTAACAGACTCACTCACTGGTTACTGGCAGTGCTGAATAAGCACAGACTTCTTCTGCAGAAGCAGAGCTTTTATACCGTTCAGTTTATTGTATGACTGAGAGCTGACAAAAAACCTATGTTTTGCAGTAGGCTGATTCCAAAGGAGAAGAGGCTGATCTGTGTGTATCCATTCAGTTCCTCCTTCCAAATTCACCAACCACATAATTCACTCTTTTTCCTCTGGCAAGGAGTAAGTGAGGGAGTAGAGAGAGGCCAAAAATGTTACTCTAATTATTGTCCATCCATGTGGAATCCTGAACTGAGGCGAAAGGAGAGCCTTTCCTCTGTCCTTTATCGTTATCTGAAGTTTGTTCCTCTTTAACTGTTCAACTAATTGGAAGTGTCTAGTTAGATTATGATAGAGATTATTTTAGAAAAACAAACTGCCTATGTTTAACTTGTATGTTCTTGTGAAGTATTCTTATCAAAGAGATTACAGGAATTCTTAATATTTATAGTTGAGTTGCACATGGTATATACTATTTGGTATAATTTGCAAAAGAGTAGAAACCCCTTTGTAGAGAAGTAGTTATTTTACTTATCAGTGAAAATTATATTTTTTTCCTGACTATAATTTTAAAGCAAAATTTTCTGGTAGAAAATTTGGAAAGCCAGAAAAGAGATGATGAAACCACCCACAAACCTATCACCCAGAAATAATGCCCATTAACATTCTCATATATTTTCTTCTAGTCTTTTTTCAACTTATAGATTCATATAATAATAATCATCATCTTTATTAATAAAGTCATGTAATTATAATTATTGTGATAAAAATAAAATTGAGGTCTTGCTATATATATTGTTTGATAATCCTAGATGTTTTTCTCACTTAATATTTTATATGAACATTTCCTCCAGGTCATTAAAATTCTTCTAAAATATTTTTGATGACTGACCGACCAGTGGCTAGAGCGTTTATGTATTTTTAAAAGGCTGACCTTCTTACTTACTAACTGCCTATGACCTACTACTGAAATCGTTTCCACATTGGTGACTCTTTGTTTCTTTGATCACCTGTCACCCAGTGATGGAGTTCATCCTGCTCATTCTGTTTATATGAGCTTAGAAAAAAATAGAGTTAAGGGAAATTTAGAAGAGAAAGAACTATGAGTGAAGTGTTCGTCTATAAATCTATTGAGACAAAATTTGAAATAATTTTTTTTTTATATTATTATAGTGTAGCAGCACCTCAAAAGACTAGATGGAATGGTTTGATAAAGGAATGACTTCGTTATTTAAAATGTCTGGTTAACTTTTTTCCAGTTTACTTTGTTTACCTTAATAATATAATTTGGACATCTTTCATATCATTACTTATGAAAGCTATTTTATTCTTTTTAATAGTTGCATAATATCTGGGTCTATCCTGATTTGAACAGCTTCCTACTTGATGCATATATAATTTTTTAGAAACTTTTAGGGTCATCACCTGATCATTATATAATAATGTAAATGTGAAAAGGCATGATAGAGCATGTGCTGAAAATTAGTTTTCTGACTAGCTTTATTAATATTTTGATATCTTGTCATTTTTATCTTTGATAAAAAGTTGAGTGGAAAAATTTTTCTGGGTATTTGAGAGTTCTGATTTATTGAGTCATATATGTGTTAGGAAGCTATGCTGAGACCATCTGCTTATCTTAAGTGAACTAGTTACGTCTTTTCTTTTAATAAAAAATATGAGTAATAATATATGTACCTGCATACTATAGGAAAGACATTCCAACAATACAGAACTGCGTACCGTAAAAAGTGAAAGTTTCCGTCTACTGATCTTCCTTTTATGGCTAACTACTGGTGTATATTCATGTAGCCTTTTTTTTCATATGTGATGTACGAATGCATACATAATCATATGTAAATATATATAGTTTTATTTTGTTTTTGACCTGTGTGGAATTATATTTGATTTCCCCATATGAAATTGCCAATATTCAACCGTTTTTAACCTACAAAAATGACAATTTCTTTTAGTTTGACCTAATACTACAAATATTGTTCTATTATTTTTTTTAACTACTAGTATATATATAATACTATATATATATTAAAAAGAAAAAAAAACCAAACTCATTGCCGTTGGTCGATTCCGACTCATAGCGGCCCTATAGGACAGAGTAAAACTTGCCGCATAGGGTTTCCAAGGAGCGCCTGGTGGATTCGAACTGTCCACCTTTTGGTTAGCAGCTGTAGCTCTTAACCACTGCGCCACCAGGGTTTCCTCATTCAGTAGACCTACTAAATGACTGCATTCTTAAAGAGGGAAATTGCTAATTTTCTCCTTCTCTTCTAATACTACTCACTCTTCCATTTTTCTCTTGAAGGCAGCAGAAAAAGTTGGATATCCGGTAATGATCAAGGCCTCAGAAGGAGGAGGAGGGAAGGGAATCAGAAAAGTCAACACTGCAGATGACTTCCCTAACCTCTTCAGACAGGTAGGGTATAAGTTGTTTTTGTTCATTTGAATTAACACGTATGTCAGAGATATATGACTAAACTCACTATAATTTGAATGTTCAGAGAATATAGAATTTTTCATTTTGCCTATAACTAATCAGATCTTTCTTACTAGCTTCCACCTGCTTATTAGCAAGGAAAATAAGTTAATCAGATGTCCAGGTCAGTTTAAAGTTTTGTTCAATTAGGTAATTCAAACAATAGAGTTATTCTTTCATATAAAAATGCTCACTTACTCATAACTCTTTCCTATATGATGTGTGTGGCTCGTAGGATCTCATAATGGCAAGGGAGAGTTGCCTTCGTCCATATTTATGCCTCTGTTCTGCTGCCATTATAGATAAAGTATGGCATATGGTTAACTCCAAATCTGGTAGCGTTTGGCTTGGCCAGGCTCAGGCTCTCTGACTGACTTTACCTCACTTTAGCTCCGGTTGGCTGTAGAGCCCTGAGTTTCTGCCATGTGTCTCATTTACCCTGCTGGCATAGGAGTCTGCATCTTTGCTTGTGCTACTAGGCCACCACACCCTAGCATAGAAGCCCTATGGCAAACCCACATCATATGAGGATTGAGGGTGGCTCAGAAAAGCTAAACCAAGGGTCTCTCTCTCTCTGCCTGACCCTGTGCTTTGCAGCAAAGTTGATGTGGCCATACTATAGATTGGTTATGGTGGCAAACAAGGAGATGATCTCTTTTCAGAATCTTAAAACAGAGAGTGAGAAGTGAAGCAGGAGCATTCTTTGCCCTGCCCTTAATGTTACTCTTACCTACCTGACTCACTTCTTTTTCTCCTATCAACACCCAGAAAAAGGAAAATTTGGACGTAGTTCTGGCCTTTGCATTCTCCCAGTTTCCTACTTTTTCATCTTTTACTTATATTTCCTTTTTTTTTTTTTAAAAAAACCTTTCAGCAGCAAAATTCTTGCTTCCTTGTCATGGGCTAAAGGGAAAACTCTGTGAACTGGATCTTCCATGATATGTTGTTGTTAGGTGCCGTCAAGTTGGTTCCAACTCATAGCGACCCTGCATACAGCAGAACGTAACACTGCCTGGTCTGCGTAACCCTCACAATTGTTGCTGTGTTTGAGCCCATTGTGGCAGCCACTGTGTCAGTCCATCCCATTGAGAGCTTCCTTCTTTCTCTGTCTCGCTGACCCTTTACTTTACCAAGCATGCCATCCTTCTGCACGGACTGGTCCCTCCTGATAACATGTCCAAAATAAGTGAGATGAAGTCTCACCATCCTCGCTTCCATGGAGTATTCTGTCTGTACTTCCAGGACAGATTTGTTCATTCTTCTGGCAGTCCATGGTATATTCAATATTCTTCACCAACACCACAATTCAAAGGTATCAGTTCTTCTTCGGTCTTCTTATTCATTGTCCAGCTTTCACATGCATGTGAGAAGATTGAAAATACCATGGCTTGGGTCAGGTGCACCTTAGTCCTCAGAGTGACATCTTTGCTTTTTAACACTTTAAAGAGGTCTTTTACAGCAGATTTGCCCAATGCAATACATCATTTTTTGACTGCTGTTTCCATGAGCAGCAGTTGATTGTAGCTCCAAGTAAAATGAGATCCTTGGCAACTGCAGTCTTTTCTCTGCATATCGTGATGTTACTTAGTGGCCCAGTTGTGAGGATTTTTATTTTCTTTATGTTGAGGTGTAATCCATACTGAAGGCTGTAGTCTTTGATCTTCAACACTAGGTGCTTCAAGTTCTCTTCTCGATTTAGTAGATAAAGTAATAAAGATATTGTCTTGCTGCATTCTTTTTTGAAGATCAGAAGCTGAATATTAGTTCAGTCTTTTTGTTTACATTTGTCTCTGTAAATCCTAATTTCATATGAGGTAGATCGATGTCTCATGTGGTCTAGAGAAAAGGTCTTCTTCTCTCAGAAGCAAAAGAAAAAGTATGCTAGTTTTTTTTGGGGGGAGGGGGAGAATCCTTTAGATATTTGAAAACTACTTATCATTATGGAATCAAATAGTTGAAGAGTCTACAACACTAAGAGGAAGTTTTATGTGAAAGTCCTTAAAGTTCCAGTAATGAATGGTCAACTAGATAACTGAAACCACTCCTCCCATTGAGAACAACTAGAAAAGCTGGACCAAATTTAAGAAAAAAAAAACTTTTTTTGTTTTAAGGCAGTAGAGACTGTTTAAGGCAATGGAGAATTATGGGACTAAGGTATAGAAGGAGGAGGAAACCCAGAGAGGTGAGCCTGGATTTTGAGGCCACTTTTTTCTCTAGAGATATCTTCCAATTCTGGAAGAGGCAACTGAAAAGCTTATCAGAGCTTACAACAGATTCACAAGATTAGGGGAGCAGAAATTAGACTTCAGTACTTGCTAAAGAAAGGGAAGCCTGGGAAACCAATCACACTTTAGGTTGGGATCCTAAAGTGCTGTACCTCAAGATGAACTGGAAATAGACCTACCCTCACAGACACTAAAGTTCAGCCTCAAAATACTCAAGGTATTCTAGGATTTCTAGTGCCCATAGCCTAGCCACCTGCAGGAATCAAATGCAAATCCTCTCCACAGAAGGGTAACATCCAGAACCTCAAATTATTTCTATTAATTTTCCACATACAGCATCAAGCATCCAATTAAAAATAAATAGGCATATAAAATTACATGGAAAACCAAGAAAAACAAAATACAGTAGAAACAGACCAACAGAGGATCTAGATAAAGAAACTATTAGACAAGAACTTTAAAGTTGCTATGCTTAATATATTCAAGGAAATAAAAGACAAGATTAAGAATTTTGGTAGAGAACTAGAAACCGTAAAGAAGAACCAAATTGAAATTCTAGTACTGAAAAATGCAATAACTACAATTAAGTTAATAGAGAGGTTTAATAGCACATTAGATGCAATGGAAAAGAGAATTAGTGACTGGAAGAGGGGTCAGAAGAAAATCCAGATTGAAGCATGAAGAGATGAAAGGATGAAAAATTTAGAGAAAAGCATATGGGAGATTATTTGTAAAGATGACCATAATAACTCTTCCCATCTCTATATGCACACCCCTTTACGTATGACTTTGCTGCTCCTGCCAACAAGTGGTAAAATCACTTTTCCCTCTCTTGAATTTCCACTAACCTTAGGACTTATCTTGACCAATAAAATATGGCAGAAGTGGCATAAAAGTTTTGAAGCTTAGACTTCAAGTGGTCTTGTAGCTTCTGCTCTTACCCTCTTAAAACAAGCCCTGAGACTGCTATATGAAGAGCCCAGTCTAGCCTACTGAAGAAAGACCACATGAAACAGATGATTTGTCTCAGCTGAGGCCTCCTAGACTGCTAGGTGACAGCCAGCATCAACTATGGGACATGTAAGGCCATATTAGACCTTCCAACCCCAGTGAAACTGCCAGATGGCTGCAGCTTCATTAGTGACTCCAGGCAAGATCAGCAGAAGAACTGTCCACCTGAGTCCAGCTCAGATTGCTGATTCACAAAATTATGAGCAGATAAAATGGTTGATGTCCTAAGCCACTAGGACTTTGATGATCTGTTAGATATCAATAGATAACAGTCACAGAAATGGATATCTAGAAGTGGGATACTGCCATAACAAAAAAGCTAAGCATGTGGTATTGGTTTTGAGACTGGCTGATAGGTAGATGCTAAAAAAGTGGTGAGGAAGGTGTTAATAGAGGCTTGAGGAATGTGAACAGTTTGTCAGTAGAGTCTGGAAAGGTAATGAGGAAATTGTTATTGGAGTCTGGAAAAAAGATTACACCTGTTCTGTAATGATGGAACAATTGGTGAAAAATGTTGCCTGAGATTACTTGGAAGATAGAAAATGTGTTTAATGAACATGTGGATCTGATAAAGGAGATCTCTAGATAAAGTGTTGAAGGTATCTGTTGAGTGCTCTTAGTTGTGTATGCTGAAGAACTACAAAAGAGAGATGAGTTAAAGAAGGAAATGTTTAGTTTACATGCAGAATTCAGAGGAAGTGTAAAGGATCCAGGACTTGCTGGTCTTGAAAATACAACTATCTTTTATTCCCAGTCTCTCCAGCTAGCAAAAGATTCTGAAAGTAAGAAATGGCCTCAGAGTAAAGGCCAAATCAAGAGCACCTGCAAGATCCTTGAAGACCTCAGAAACATTTAAGGCAGTACCTGTTAGACCCTCTCAGCTAGATAAAAGGGCTTCTAATAATTTTAAGGATGTTATCTTACAGCAAACTGATATGCCCAAAGTGTAGAGAGATCTTTCTGGAAAGAATTATGGATGTGGCTTTTGGGGCAAGGACTGAACCCCAGTACAATTCATAGGAAACCCACGAAGTTTTTAAGAGACTTATATTGATGAATGCACCATGATCTTGGACTAAAAGAGATAGAGACAATGACAGTCGTCAAAATGAAAAAAAGCTTTCTGAACCTTCAACTTTCTATGGGCAAGAAGCAGGCTGAGAAAGCTCAGCTGAAAACATGGTCATTTCTAATAAAAAGACACATTTCTCAGAGAGTGGAGCCAGAAGCCCAGAAGGCAGAGCTAAGAGTAGCGGGGAGCCATGGATTAGGGTACCACCCTCAGGGAGCAGAGCCAGGTCCTAATTTAAAAAAAAAAAAAAAAATTCCCTGCCCCTGGAATAAGGTAACCTGAAAACATGTACTATCTGGATTTCAGAATTGCTATGGACCAGTGACTTCAATGTACCTCCCATTCCTCTCCTGTTTGAACTGGAATTATATATTACAGTTATCCTCACCCCATCTCACCGCTATGTATTGGGAGTGTTGGGGGCAGATAACTTGTCTTTTTAGTTCCCAGGTCATTGGACCAAGAGAAACTTCACCTGTGGAGCTGCACCCAAGGAGCTGCATTTGCTTCTGGACATGACTCATGAGAAAATGGACGTCAAGCCTGATGCCATGCTTGGATAAGACTTTGGGGGTCTTGGGAGGGGGTGAGTCTGTTTGCATGTGGGAGGTATGTGAATTATTGTGGCCAGAGGGTGGATCATAGTAGATTGTTTTACAGATGGCCACAATAACTCCTCCATCCCTGTATATACACCCCTTTGCAATGTGACTTTGCTGTCCCTCCTGGGAAGAGGTGGAATCTCTTCTCCACCCCTTGAATATTAGCTGGCCTTGTGGCTTGCTTAGACCATTAGACTGTGGCCAGGGTGATATTGCATAAGTTCCAAGGCATAGACCTGTAGAGGCCTTGCAGCTTCTGTCCTCACCCTCTTGGAACACCACTGAAGAAGCCTAGTCTAGCCTACTGGAGGATGAAAGACCACATGCAACAGAGATGAGCTGTGCCTGCTGAGGCTTCCTAGACCTACCAACCAACAGTCAGCCCAAAGCACCAGACATGTGAGACCATCTGAGGCCATTCATCCCCATTAGAGCCACCAGATGATTGTATACGTATCAGTGACCCCAGGCAAGACCAGAAGAAGTATCCAGATGAGTGTAACATCATGGGAAAATAAAATAGTTGATGTCCTAAGCAAGCCACTGAGTTTTGAGGTGACTTGTTACACAGCAAAACAGAGGATAAAAGACATATGGATACAGTGAAATGATCTAAATCAAGTACTTGGAGTCTCAGAAGAGAAGAATGGTGGAGAAGCAATATTTGAAGAAATAATGGACCAGAAACAATATTTGAAGAGTTAATGACTAAGAATTTTCCTGAACTGACAAAAAACACCAAACACAGATTCGAAAGCAATAGGAACCCCAAGCAGGACAAATACAAAGAGAACCAGACCTAAATTTATCAAAATAAAACCACCCCTCACCCCAACGCCCCTCCCCCCCCAAAAAAGAGAGAGAAAATCTTAAATGCAGTTGGAGAAAAAGATTGCTTTCAAAAGAGTAATAATATTGACAGCTGACATCTCAGTAGAAGCAGTGGAAAGCCAGAAGACATAGAGATATCTTTCAAGCCTTGAAAGAAAATCATTGCTAGTGTAGAATTCCGTACTCAGTAACGATATTCTTCAAAACTGAAGATGAAAGTTCTTTGAAAAGTATAAAAAACTACACCAGTACAGTATATGATGCAATGTGAAACAGGAAGAATCATCTAGTCTGCTGAGAGTTGGACATTTGCCTATACAGAGTCGATGGCAGTATTTTGCCGTTGTGGGATTTGTGTGTGTATATGTGTGTGTATTTTCAAATATTTTGTTGTTTACCCTTGTAACACACTGGATGTTCATACTTCTTTTAGTCCTTAATTAATATTTGTTTCATAACTAAGAATGCAGTATCTTAAATATAAAAGGGCATGGGCTATGTTTTATTCTTTTTTTTTTTTTTTTTTTTAATTTCTACTGATTAACATGGTTCCTGGCACTTCTAGGCATCTGCCTATTAAAATCGAAGCAGCTTATCAGAATAGCAAAAAGGGTTAGCAATTAAGAATTTGTTTTATTTCCTTTTCTAATATAGGTTCAAGCTGAAGTCCCTGGATCACCTATATTTGTGATGAGACTAGCCAAACAATCTCGTCACCTGGAGGTGCAGATCCTAGCAGATCAGTATGGCAATGCTATCTCTTTGTTTGGTCGTGACTGCTCCGTACAGCGCAGGCACCAGAAGATTATCGAAGAGGCACCTGCTGCTATTGCTCCTCCAGCAGTATTTGAACATATGGAACAGGTGAGTATTTGAGAAGCTTTAATTTCTGTTTTCTCATACTGAACTGCTATAGTTTAGTTCATGTGCCAATCTGAGAATAGTAGAATTTGAAGCAAGGATTCTGGGTAATTGATATGATTTTTTTTTCCTGGAAGAAAAAAAATTCTGCTATTTTTCCTGTAGGAGAGTCACCAATGAAGATGGTTAGCTCTTTAAAAAAAAAAAAAAAAAGTATACTATTTTGAGTAGGGATAAAGAGGAGAAATGTTTTAGACTTTTTAATCTTATTGCTTAATTTTCTAGCAAGTTTCTGATAAGTAGTTCTGTTTTCTAGATTGATTATCATTGAGTCTTCATATGAATTTATTCAAATACATTATCTTTTTGAAATGTTCTCTGAGTATCTTTAAAGCTCACATGTTGTATAATTTTGTATAGAATATAATCTCTTAGAGACCTTAAAGGATGCCTTGGAAACAGTTATAGCTTAGGGGTCCGAACGTGGTCTTTCCTGGAATTGTGATTCAGTCTTCATCTTATTGGACACATGTTTTCCACATCTTCTTTCTTCTGAATTCTGAATGAGCTAACTATACAGTAATCTGTGTTGGAAGTTTAATTCCTACTCCCACATGCTCACGTTTGTGTATTAGGATGCAATATTAAACTGCTGTAATGAAGAGACTTCCAAACTACAGTGGCTTAAACAAGGCATAAGTTTCTCTGGGCTGGTGCTGTGGCACTGCTCCATGCCAGAGACTCACTCTGCCAGAGTTAGAGCAAACTAGGTCAGAGTCAGCAAACTACGACTCTTAGGCCAAATCTGACCTGGTTTTGTAAACAATGTTTATTGGAATACAGCCAGATGATTTATTTATATATCATAATAAATTTATTTATACTGTCTATGGTTACTTTAGGACTGTAATGGCAGTGTTGAATAGTTGCAACAGAGACTGTATGGCCTGCAAAGCTGAAAATAATTACTATTTGGTTCTTTACAGAAAAAGTTTGCCGACCCTTGCCCTAGGATGGTGTCATCATCATCTTCTTTATTATACAAGATTATGTTCACATTGCAGCCTGTGGAAAGAGTGAAACAGGGGACATGGAGGGCAAGCAAATAAAGACATGATCTAGAAGTCACATATGTCACTTCTCACATCCCATTGGACAAAATTCAGTTACACAATCACACCTAGCTGCAAGGGATGTTAGGAATTATAGTCACTAGCTGAGTGGCCATGTGCTCAGCTAAAATTCAGGAGATTCTGTTACTGAAAAGGATAAAAGTAGAGAAAAATTACCTGAGGGCATTTAGCAATCTGTGCTACAGTCTGTTCCTCTGGTTCCCTAGTATCCTTTCACACCCTTTTCCCACACTGCTTCCCTCAAGGAAAGCTGCACACATTCTCAGTCAGTTACTACATTCACCTAAAAATCCAAGATGACTGGCTGCTGTACATTCTTCTCCATTAGATATGCATGTGACTTTTCATGGGCCAGTGACCTAAAATACAGGTTATCTACCCCTTATCATCCCTTCTCCCCTCATATATTCAAGATACAGTGGTGGATTAGGAACAGGATAACACCCAGCTGGGAGAGGGAAAAATGAAAAATTACATAGCAGTCATTGATTTATAAAACCAAAACCAAACTCATTGCTGTTGAGTTGATTCCAACTGATAGTAAGCCTGTAGGACAGTGTAGAACTGCCCCATAGGGTTTCCAAGGCTCTATAATCTTTATGGAAGCAACTGCAACATCTTTCTTCTGCAGAGGAGCTGGTGGGTTTGAATTGCCAACCTTTTGTTAGCAACCAGTTGCTTAACCACTGCACCACCAGGGCTCCTCATTGGTCTGTAGCAGTTAGCAAATCCTTCTCCGCAGGAATTGTGATGATTCCCTACCATGTAGTGGAGTAATACCTCAATTAGTCTTTGTGTCTGCCCCTAGTTCTGTTCTTTGGGAGTAAATCCCATGCCCATTGTCCTTCAAGGCACCTGGCTTTGCTCTTTGTGAAGCTGTTCCCTGCTCAGTTTTCTCTGTGAATTAGGCTTTGGAAACTACCGACTTTGGCAGAGCTGACTTCCGGTGCAGGATTGGGGGCACAAAGATTATTCCAATAATCAATCCCAGCTTTTGAAGGCTAGGTTTGTGGTTTCTTTAGTCATACAATTCATTCAGAAATTTAGTAAGCCTCTGGGCTGTTTGCTTCCAGTCAGCTTCAGGTTAGAGTAACCAAACCTAAAGATTTTTTTCTGGGTAATATAAAGTTTTCCTCTTTTATTTACTGGCTTCTGTGGTTACCCCATCTCACTCCTCAGTTTAATGCTGCCTACCTTGAAACCAGCTGAAACTGAAGTGGCACTCTTAATCTGACCTTTGACACTGCATTGTTTCTAGTCTTCTGTTTTTAGGGTATAAAAGCAGTTGGCATCTTCAACAAGCTGACTTTTTCTAACCATTTTTCTTAAAGCTTACCAAATGTTTTATGCCACAACAAGGAGGCCACCAGCTTTCCAATCTGCAGTATCTGTTTCCTCGCCATCCACCACCCTTTTTCTAAGCCAATACCACATATTTTAATTTTTTTAACAGCAGCATCCTACCTACAGTTAATAATTTTTGTATTGGTTAGGGTTGGTTCAGTGGTAGAATTCTCGTCTCCCATGAAGAAGATCCAGATTTGATTCCCAGCCAGTGCACCTCAAGCACAGGCACTATCTGTCTATCAGTAGAGATTTGCTTGTTGCTGTGATGTTGAACAGGTTTCAGTGGAGCTTCCAGACTAACATGGACTAGAAAGAAAGGCCTGATGGTCTACTTCCAAAAACCAGCCAGTGAAAACCCTGTGCATCATAACGGTCTGATGCAGCCAGTCATGGGAACCAGGCACTGCTTTGTTCCTTTGTGTGTGAGGTCACCATGAGTCAGGGGTCTACTTGACATTGGCTAACAACAACAGGATACAGGTTTAGCTGATGTAACAAAGAGATCCAAACGATACAGCGACTCAAGTAAGGTAGACGTTTATCTTTCTCTTCCATAGTAGTTTGAGGTAAGCTCTCCAGAGCAGTGGGACAGTTCTGTTTATGAGGCTATCCTGAGATTCAGGTTCTGTCTTGTTTTGCCATTCTTAGCATGTTCTCATTTCCATAATTGAACCCGGCTTGCACTATCATGGCCATGTTCCAATTCATAGGGAGGGGAAAAGCCAAGAATGGAGGGCAAGAAATTTCCTTTGCAAAACATGATTCAGGAGTTGTGCATATGTCACTCATGACTGTTGACATTCTGTTGGTCAAAACCTAGTCACTAGCTACAAGAGATGTTGGAAAATCTAGTCTCTAGCTGGGCAGCCATGTTCCTAGGAAGAAGGGGAGGATATGGGGAATACCAGAAACTAGGGGAGAATGACAAGTCTGCCACAGTGCGTGTTTGCATCATTCCTGATTGGTGAGGTTGCTTGTGATCTAAAACTGAAAAATCCTCGGTTTTCCCACAGCTTTTCGTTGAGTTTGTCATCTCTTGTCGAGGGATCTTACATAATAATCAGACAAGGTGAAATTAGCTCTAATATGGCTAAAAATCTTTGCTGGTTCTTATAAACATTTGATAGTTGAGTCAGAGAGGCTGTAGATAAGCAGTGGTCCAACAGTGGACAAGGTGAGATACTTATGTTTGCTTATCTTTCATCTTTAAGTGTGCAGTGAAACTGGCCAAAATGGTTGGTTATGTGAGTGCTGGGACTGTGGAGTACCTCTACAGCCAGGATGGCAGCTTCTACTTTTTGGAACTGAACCCTCGGCTACAGGTGGAGCACCCTTGTACAGAGATGGTGGCTGATGTCAACCTTCCTGCAGCACAACTCCAGGTGAGTCACCCTGATTTGAGCTCAAGGAGGAGCCTAGAAAAGTTTGGAATTTTAAAGATACCTGGAAAACTGGTTTAACCAGTGTCTGATAAGAGAAACCAAAAAACAAACTCACTGCAGTCAAGTTCATAGTGACCCTGTAGGACAGAGTAGAACTGCCCCATAGGGTTCCTAAGGCTGTACATTTTTACAGAAGCAGACTGCTTTCTACCTCGGAGTGGCTGGTGGGTTCAAACTGCTGACCGTTCTGTTCACAGCTGAGCACTTTAACAACTGCACCACCAGGACTCTGTAAGAGAAAAGCACCTTCTATTTGAGTCTTGCCTAATGTTCATTTCTCTTGTGCTGTGTTGTGTGGGTTGTACAGATGTGGGTTGGTTTCCCTGATGTGGTACAAACATAGGAAAATTATTATTTTTTTAAGCCAGATACATCTGATATAAACTCATATTTTAGAAAGAAACTTCACAAATAATATGCTTTATTCAATTGTTTAATTATAGAAAACCTTACAACTTTGGAATTGCTCCCTAATCCTCTTTACTAGTGTTCTGTATTAGAGAAATTCCATATCAAAGTTGGGGTCAAAAGTGTTTCCTGTAAGACTCTAGTATCCCACATTTATTCACCCCCCGCCACATTTGTTTTTATAATGTATAAAGTGCTAGTTGTCATTTATTGCCTCCTGTCAGCCCAGGGATGGAGCCCTGATGGCACAGTGGTTAAGAGCTTGGCTGCTAACCAAAAGGTTGGCAGTTCGAATCTACCAGCCGCTCCTTGGAAACCCTATGTGGCAGTTCTCCTCTGTCCTATAGGGTCTCTGAGTTGGAATCAACTCGACGACAGTGGGTTTGGTTTTGGTTTTCTCAGTGCAGTAAACAAGTGTTACCAGAAGCAGTAATAGCTAATGATAAGGTTTGGTATTATTTATATCTAATGTAGTCTTTGCCCACACTGGGAACCCCCTCTGTGTTCCCATTAAGGACTAAAGATTTATTTACTTCTTGCACTGGTTTGTGGGAATGAAAGAGATAATTATGATAGAGTTAGAACTTTTTAGCTAACTGGACTTACTGGATAACCACTGACATTGACATTTCGCTTGGATATCTTCATGTTGATTCCTTGATGGGGAATTGACACTAAGGGGAGCTTGTGTCTGTTGTATTAGGAATTGGGGGACTTTTTTAGGAGTGAGGAATGTCTAACAACTTATCAGTACTGACATCCTATTTCAGGTTAACTTAGAATTATTTGTTCAGTGATTGTAGAACACAGACTATAAAAACACAATGTTTTAGGTGGTGGCTAATGAAATGAAAAACTGTAGGTAATCTGATAGCCTTCACATTTTAAGGAAAGTAACTGTGGAAAATGAGTGACGTGTGTGTTTTATTAACTTTCAGATTGCCATGGGGATCCCTCTATATAGAATCAAGGATATCCGTATGATGTATGGGGTATCTCCCTGGGGCGATGCTCCCATTGATTTTGAAAATTCTGCTCATGTTCCTTGCCCAAGGGGCCATGTTATTGCTGCTCGGATCACTAGTGAAAATCCAGATGAGGTAACTCATCAGTTAAAAAGTTGACACCTTTTTTCCCCTGGGGAACTATCTGAGGGCATACATCTGAAACATCTTGGGACTTCCTCTGGGGAGGGAAATTATTTATAGAGTATTTGATCGGAGCAGATAAATTATTAAATTAAGTGATCATTGCTCCACTGATCGTTTAATCCCACTTTATCACTATAAGATCCTCACTGGGTTTGTAGCACTGGACCGTGGCACTTGAGCTTTTATGATTTTTGTGCATCATTTCTCCTTCTGTATATGATTAGCAGAGACCCTAAACAATGAATATACAAATGTCCTCTTTCTTGGAAATATGATACAGTCTCTCATATTCACCATTCTCTAACAGGGTTTTAAGCCCAGCTCAGGAACAGTTCAGGAATTGAATTTCCGCAGCAATAAGAACGTTTGGGGTTATTTCAGTGTTGCTGCTGCAGGAGGACTTCATGAATTTGCTGATTCTCAATTCGGTCACTGCTTTTCCTGGGGAGAAAACAGAGAGGAAGCAATTTCGTGAGTATAAAAGTGTTTGTTTCCATTTTACAAAATAAATTCATGTTAATCTTCAGTGAAGGGACGAGCATGGGAATGAGAACCGTTTATCTGCGGCAGAAGTACCGATATGGTCAGCCTTATTGATAAAAATATTTAAAATCATACTTGCATTTATATTATGTTAAATTATGCCGATTTGACAGATATTTTTCTGTTTGTTGTTCTGAGCCTTTTGAAGTATTCTTCTGTTTGTTTCAAGTGCTTTTGATAAACTTACATAATTGATTGCTTTAAGGGTGCCATATTTTTCCTTAGAAACAGTAATGTAATTGGGGATGGGGAGTGGGGAAAGGAAGATTTTTGTTCAAGGGTTTGGCATAAATAAATCATAGGTAAGATCTGTCATTTGTCATAAAAATAATGATATAACTATGAATATCCTATAGTTATTTAAAATAATAAGATAATGCTGCTTGTCTTATGACAAGGGCATAGGGAACTGTCCACAGTGCTTAGATGAGAGACCCTGGTGTGTTATAAAGTATATACACAGCTTATACAAATATAGCTGGTATATCGTGTTATTAATTAGTATTCTTTTAATAAACATATTAAATTAACAGCAATTTTGCTTGCCTAAAAAGGTAGGGCCTTAGAAGATAATTTGGACAGCTCAGATATTTTAGAATTTCTATTTTCTAGTTTTTTTTGGTACTAAACATTTAATACCGTTCTCTTGACCTTTGAAATGTATACAAAGAGTAGATAATAAGTATTGACAATGTTAGTTATTAATAATGTTTCAGAAGTAGGGAAGTCTCAATATTTCTCTATTTTGTCCTGTACAATTCTTTCTGTGTATTCAAAACTATCAGTGGAGTTTTTCAAAATTAAAACAGTGCTGCCAGAAAAATCATCTAGTCTAAAGTTGCTTTTTTTTTTAACTGCCATATCCTGCTTTGTCAAAGTGTGTACAACGTTTACAGTGGAGCTTGCAAGCTGGTGGCTTTCAGGCCAGTCTCAGCCTACAGATGTGTTTTGATTGGCTCATAAAGTGTTAATTTAAAAAAAAAAATTACTAACATTTAAAAATTGGGAGATTGAAATAAAAATCTAGAGATTGAAATAAAAATCTAGATTTCTCCCTTTTTTTAAAAAATGGGATGATAACGATAATATTGGTTTTATATTCCACTTGGCAAAAGTCAGCTGAAACTTTGTGTGACTGTTTGTTTATATGAGACATGAACTCTCTAGTTCACCACAGCCCCCATCCCATCTGCCTCACTCATTTATGTTCCAGGGTGGTCTCTGTTAGCATTTATATATATCGTCCTGATTCAGCAGAGCAGTGTGTACTTTCCACGAGACATGTTCTGTGTCACAGGCCAGAAACCTTGCTCCTTACTTCCTGACCTGCTGTGTACAGTTTTCTTAATGAGGTTAACTTTTAGCACATGAAAAATATGGTCTCTACAATAAGCTTGCTTCTTAATACCAAACGTTCATTCTTCAGGTCAGAACTTCCTTTTTTTTTAAATTAACATTATTAGGTCTGTATTCTTCAGCTTGATGTTCAGACTTTTGTTCTCCACAATAGCCCTAAGCCATGTTCCAGCATTATTCCTCACAAATTATAATCTAAATACCCTGAGGGCAGGACCATGTCTGTCTTGCTGCTGCAGTATCTCCTGACCATAATAAGCATTCAGTAAATGTTTGTTGAATGGATTGCCCAGTAGTCCCTCTCCTCATACCCTCTGCTATACCTTCTGCTTCAGTCATACCCTTCATCCCTTGAACACAACCCTTTTCTCCCCTCTTTACCTTTGTTCTTGCTGTTTTTTCTTTTCACTTCATTCATTCATTCCATTCAACAAATATTTACATAGTATCCACTATATGCTGTTCTTGCTGTTTTTTCT